CTGTATAAGAACAAGCAACAAATTATCTTGGATTTTTGAGATACTGAATGATATTCAAGGCTTTTGCATGAAAAAAAGCTCACAGATACAAAAGGTTCCCAGATAGCATAAGTAAGATTGAATACAGCTTATTTGTCTGTGGGAAGTTTATTTCAGAAAGCCATTTAAAATTGGCATAATCAAACAAAAAACCTCACATACATATCTCATCATGTATGCCTATATTTAATAATTACTTTTTATTTGTCTTTTAATCACAGTTGTTGTCTGTAACAGTACTTTATGCACATGAAGAACATTCTGAATACGAGTTCCTTGTCCCAGTTCAGAAAAGCCTGTTATTACTGTCTCTGAATTTCAAGAAGCCTTTAACTTTAGAAGATCCATCCTTAGACTAATAGGGGTTATGGACACCCCATGCCCATTGGCAAATTCTCCTTCTGAAGGGTTTGTGACTGCAGTCACTACGACCTAAGACTTTCAGTGGGCTCCCTAGCCTGTTGACAGTCATTCCTGTTCCCAAAGGATCAGACAAGTTACTTTGCCTATAAATTTCCTCTTTCTAGACTGCAGTATTAATTCGCTACAGTAGTAGTTGAGAGACTTTTTAAAGATTGTCAGTGAGAACAATAGCTGACAGGGACATGTCCATCCACTTGCTTCTGTAAAAAGAAGTTTTTTCATGTTTGTATTGGATCTAGGTAGCCTGGTTGATATAGCTATATAAAGAGAAAATTAAATAACTTGAGGCAGTGTTTTCAGTGGGCAGTAGGTAATGCCTAAAGGCAGATCATTGGTATTTTGATAAATCAAAGGTATGTTGGACCAGTCAAGAGTATTTTCATACCTGCACTGTTTAGATAGTAAGTACATAATCTTTACATAGCCTATACTACTTTTATTAAAGCTATTAGGAAACCAATAGACACTGGTCTCTCAGTTAAAAAGGATATATAAACACAGAATGCGAAGTGATGTTTTTCCCATACCCACTGACTTTGAAATAGTGTTTTAAGTGCAGTCACCATGAAAAGAGTAATTCACATATGCTGACTGTGCAACTTATTCACTTATTTCCATTTTTGTTGCAAATATATTGAAACTCATTAGAGATCTCTATGTTGCTTTATCATCATTTGCTTTATGCTCCCTCCCCATCTTTCCATTTGGGTGATGTGATTTGCTCAGATGACCTAATGTCATTTTTCGTAGGTGCAAGTAAATATATCTTCCACAAATCTGTATGAAACCCTGCCAGACTGCTAGCCCTGCCAATGCCCAGAGCAATGTCCTGTACCACAGAAGGAAAAACATGAAATACACATTAATCTTTAGCCTTGTAGCTCAAATACCATCATCGATAAAGAGTATTACAGTGATTTGCCAGAGAGTAGTGAGTTGTCTGAGCATGTGGTTTTGTTCAGCCTGTTTTTATTTGCTTTTCTTTAGAAATACAACAGATCATGTTGAGCAAGACATTTGCATCTAATCTGCCCAGAGGCACTATTAAGGACATGTTCTAAAAACCAGAAACACTGTATGGTCTCTTGTAGCAGTGTTGACAGGAAGGTCACAAGACTAGTCACACAAAATGACCTACTTTTTTAAAGTAAGATTATTTTTTTTCCCCAAAACTATTAGCACCAGTATTAGCTATATAAACAAATGTATTGTCTTTAACAACCTTGTAAATCTGTATCTTGCAAATCTTTATTTTCGTTCCTGTAAACTAAGATAAGCTGTAGAAAGCTAAAAGGGAGGCGAATACTGGGACATTCTTAAGAAGTGTGTTTCTTCTGCTGCACCTCCTAGAAAAATTTCTACTCCCAAATTACCAATGAAAGCAAACCAGGCACTGAATTGATCTAGTGCTAATTAAGATAGACTAGAGCAGGGTTGGGAGCTGGTAGAAGTCCCCACTGTGTTTTTCAAGCACATTCATAAGGAGGTAGATTTAACTTTAGACTGGCTCATCTACTCAGCATGCTCTCTGCTCATCCTAGACAGGTGTAAAAGGTCAGCTGTCACAAGTTGGATCCATGAAAACAGTAACCTATACAAAAAGCAATCTTGGCATATTTTGCAGGTGACACCAAGCTGGGGAGTGTTGATCTGCTTGAGGGTAGAAAAGCTCTACAGAGGAATCTGGACAGGCCCGATCAATGGGGCAAGGCCAATTGTATGAGGTTCAACAAGGCTCAGTGCTGGGTCCTTCACTTGGGTCACAACAACCCCACACAATGCTACAGGCTTGAGGAACAGTGACTAGAAAGCTGCCTGGTGGAAACAGACCCTGAGGGTGTTGGTCGACAGCCGGCTGAACGTGAGCCAGCAGTGTGCCCAGGTGGCCAAGGCCAATACTATCCTGGCTTGTATCAGAAATAACGTGGCCAGAAGGGAAGTGATTGTCCCTCTACACTCAGCACTGGTGAGGCCACACCTCGAATTCTGTGTTCAGTTTTGGGCCCCTCACTACAAGAAAGACGCTGAGGTACTCGAGCGTGTCCAAAGAAGGGCAACCAAGCCAATGAAGGGTCTGGAGCACATGTCATATGAGGAGCTGCTGAGGGACCTGGGGTTGTTTAGCCTGGACAAAATGAGGCTTGGGGAGACCTTATCACTCTCTACAGCTACCTGAAAAGAGGTTGTAGCAAGGTGGGTGTCGGTCTCTTCTCCCAAGTAACAAGTGATAGGACAAAAGAGAATGGCCTCAAGTTGCACCAGGGGAGGTTTAGGCTGGATATTAGGATAAATTCCTTCACTGAAAAAAGTTGTCAAGCACTGGAAAAGGCTTTCCAGGGAAGTGTTTGAGTCACTATCCCTGGAGGTATTTAAAAGACATGTAGACGTGGCACTTAGAGACATGGTTTAGTGGTGGACTTGGCAGCGTTAGGACTTGGCAGTTGGACTCAATGATCTTAAATGTCTTTTCCAACATAAATTATTCTGGGTTTTTATGTCTTCATTCTTCTCTTTCTCCTTAATAATTATTCTACAATACTAATTCCTCCATTGAACTGTTAGAAGATTTCAGTCCCTAGTTTCCATTTCAGTGCAGCTGAGAGTAGATTTGTCTACAGTATTTTAATATAAAAGGAATATACATGGTTTATTATTTTGTTCTTGACATGTAATATTTGTTTATATAATGTAAGCATGAAAGCTTTGCAAGCTCATTCCTACAAGTTACATGAATTCATTTGGAAAAAAGTATTTTTTCCAAAGCAGTCTGTTAAGTCCCCCCACAAAAACATCAAACACGGGAGTAGATCTGTTTCAAATTAATGCAGCAGGTGGGCACATCACAGACAAAGAGCAGTGTGGCATTCCCCAAATGGCAGTACCTTCATCATGAAATAATAGCAGAAAAACTGCATAGCTCGAGGATGTAAAAATGGAAAGAAATCTTTTGCACAGGTCCTGCACCTGGAAATGGAGCCACCTCCTATAACAGAAGCCATCCATAGAAATTGAGAAAATACCTTTCTCCAGGGGCAGTAGTCAGGGCCCTTTCTTAAAAGCTAGTTTAGTTTCCCCAGTGCTGTGAAGTATGAGAAAACTTTTTAGATCATGAATCATCAATTTCATTCTATCCTTTTTCAGAGCAAGGTTTGGTTGGATTTTTATTTTTTTTTAAATACATATGCTTTTAATTTTGGGGGGTTTGTTGGGTTTTTCTTTAAGATAAGATGCATAGAGCAGCATCTTGCAGGGACAGACCTTTACAGCCTCAGATGCTGCAGAACCTCTTGCTGCTATGTATTCACACAAAATCTGTCCCCTTTAAATATCCTGACAACATAAAAGGGGAAGAAACACAAGGGGCTTGGGAATGCCAGAAGCTTCTCCCTGCCCAGACTGTGACCCAGCCCCAGCAGGGGAATCCAGAAGCCAATGCTGGAGGCATCAGGCTGCAAATGTGGTTCTTCACAAGGCAGATCTGCTAATGGTGACTTCAGCCCAGGCTGGTGTGATGATATCTGACGTTCAAAAGTGCACACAGCACTTGACAGCTCTTGCCCTGTTGAGATGCGAAGCACCACTCTGTATCTTTCCCCTCAGCTTGGCTGCATTTACTCAGCATTGAAATTAATTCCTCAAGCCCAGCAGGGCATTACTGGAAGGAGCAGAGGAAGAACCTGGCTGACCTCAGGCTTGTGGCAAAGAGTTGTTCAGGCACCAGTATGCAGGAAGCCACCACCCAGAATTAGAAAGGAAGAAGTATTTTGGAGAGGCCACCATGTTCATCTGAGGCAAGGACTGTGTTGGTCATGGCTTAGCTCCCAACTCAGTCACAAACAGACACAGACTTGCTAAGCCTGATAGTTTAGCAGCGTTGTTGACCAAGACCTCAAAACACAATGTCTGTGTAACGTAGCCCTCCTCTTCCTGCTTCCTCTTTCTCCCTCCCCACATGGCTTGAACTTCATTACTGGAAGTCTGGGTTCTCATACAGACTTTTTTTTAGGAACTCAGTGCTTGATTTACAGAAATCTCAGTTGGTTCACCCCAAAAATTTCCTTCTTTAATAGTAAAGCATCGAGATATTCAGCTGATGTCACTAGGCTGATTGAAAACAGGCAGCTTTGCAAAGCTTACCAAAAGAATCACCAGCTACTCTCCACACACACACACACAAAAATCAATTGAGGAAACATAACAGAACAAAAAAGCATCTTTATTAGAGTGAAATCCATCATCACAGATCAGTTTGCTGTGATACTTGTTTTTTAAATTTGCAAAACCCTAATTTCCCTTCCTAGAGAGTTCTGGTTTGGGCATTTTTCCAGTAAGGAGGCTTCTATTGTTATCTAGACCACAATCTGCCCTAAATTAATTTTAAAAGAAGTTTGATTTTTTTTCAGTAGACATGATGTTGCATACTTCAGAAATACTTGAGCATGACATGATCTTCGCCAGTTTGTTGGGTTTTAAAAATTGTATTCTCTGTGTGAGCCATCAGATAATGTCTTTGTCACATATCCTTTTTATAATTTTAGGACCACCTGAAAGCTTTTGACCAGGAAGTCAATGCGTTTGTGGACTATATGTTTGGACCTCGAGGTAAGCTGTTCCACCTATAGCCCTTTTAGGAAACAACACATATCCAGATTACCACTCAAAAATATTCTAAAAAATAGAAGCCGTTAAAATCTTCTATTTGAATAATTTCTCATTGAAAAACGTGGACCAGGCAGGATCACAGTATTTGCAGGAACACACCATTAGTGTAGGAAATCTTAGTGCACTGCATTTATAGAAAGCCAACAGATTTTTGTTTTGACTATTTGACATAATATTATCTTTAGTATAAATTAAAACCAAACACAGATTATAGTGCAGGTGAAAGAAGAAATGAAACTGATTTTTTTTTAAAGTCACTAGATTTGTGAGTCCTTTGTTTCTGAGAATATCAGAGGATTTCAGTTTTACATTCTAATGTATATTTTAAAAATGGAAAGCCTGGATTTTTCTGAAAGTGGAAGATCTGTTTTCAGACTGATTCTCATTCATAATCCAGTTATTGTTTGGTCCAGCTCCCTATCAAATAGCCTAATTCAGAAGAAGGCTCAGAGCAAAGCCAGAAATGGCTTTTAGCACCCTGCAGGATCACATCCAAAATTTCAGTACCAATAGACAGGGTGGAACAGATGCATCTTTCTGCTTCCCAAAACTGTTTGGGCAAGAATAACTTGAATAACCGTAGCTTGGAGGTGCCTTGTGCTTTGTTAGGACTGAAACAAGTAATAGTCAAAAAACCCAAACCAAACCTGAAATAGGACTGCAGAAAGAGAAAGGCTACAGCAAGGTGAGGGCAGAGCACCAAAGTCAGAGCTAAGAGCCAAGCAGCTAAAGGAAAGGAGTAAGACAGGTGCTTAGACAGCAGACAGTCTTCAGAGAAGTAAGGCCCCCTTGCTGCTGATAGGGCTGGACTTAAACATTCAACTTCAGAAATAGCCTTGCAGACTTTTCTCCATGGTTAAATCCAGAACTGCTGCCCATGTGGGATGGAGATATGCTTATGTATTTTCATTTTGTTGCAATAATGTCCTCCAGATCCCAGAAACAGTTCTTGCTTAATTAGCAGGACAAGGGAAAGAAAGTTGTAGCATTCTTAGTACTAAGAAATTCTCATCTTTCTTAGCTGGCTGGCTGGCTACAAAATCTTTTCCATCATCTCTGCAGTAGAAGTAAAGCTGGAAAGAAACATTTCTGGTGAAGAAACACTGAACAGCTTGGGAACTGCAGCAGAAGTGATTAAAACAGAATAAGATTTATTAATAGCTTGTACAATAGTGCATTTTAATATTAAGAAATATGATCTCAAACATAAAAGTACTACTATTTTTATTTCAAATGAACATGATTTTCTCTTTCATTCCTCTTTCCTAGCTGGTCTTGGATGAATTGTTTGAAGGAACACACTGTAGTTAATCCAATAAAGAACACCACACAGATCCCTTTGGGCTTTTAGAAAGTCCTTTAGTTAAACAAGTATTATTTGTATTACTTGACAAGTACACCACCATCCCTTGCCAGACATCAATACTGAAGATAACATCTATTTGTCCGTGCCTCTTCACTATGATCTTCAATTTAACTGGTGGTATAAAGACACAGTATCACACATTTAATGAATAACATAGCTCCCTCCAATATGGTTATACGCCTAAATAATTTGCAATAAACTGCAAGCAGTTTTAAATTGGATAGAATGACCCCACAAATGAAAGTCTAATAAGTTCTTGATAGCTTCCCCAAATGTCTAAAAGCAACAAATCATTCCCCTTCTTTCCACCAATTTTTATCCGCAGTGCATGCTTCATTCAGCAGCAAAATAGCTTTAAAAGATAGATATCAGTGCTCTATTCTTTTAAAAAGCAATCCTGTGTTTATGGTTTATATTTTAGGTAGTAACTCCTGAAACACTAGTATCACTTTACTGGTTTTAGTCATCATTATCAGATGGGGCTGAAGGCACAAGAAGAGACAGAGAGCCACACACTAGTTCCCAGAGGCAACCTCTGCTCACGTTAGTTGTACTGGGTTAACACAAGCTGCAGTACTACACTACTAGAATAAGGGGCATACTATCAAATATCTGAATTTGATTTATATATATTTTGTGCCTTTGTTTACTGGTGTCAGCTGGACTTTGTACACAAATTTACCTCAATGTTTGCTTTTGAAGTAGCAGACCAAGTCCTTTGAATCAGGGAACAGAAGCCATATAGATGCCCATTAGTTGCAACTCTTAAGAGGTGATCTTGCAGTTTGATGTTGGTCCATATTATTCTGAATAGGAGATTATCTAGGCTCAAGGCAAAATGAGAAACAATGAAATAGCTATATTGTTCCAGGGTTGCCTTCATCTGCAGAGTATTGTTTCATGTTACACAAAATTAAGGAATATTGAATTGTAGGAACAACATGTAGTTAATTGGTTGCTTGTTTTATCTGTGGAAGAAACAGAGGTGGTCTAGAATAGATATATTTTAATAAAGTTATGATAACGTAATAAGCACTCCTCCCTCTCCTCAGTTGAGTATGAACAGTAGGAAGTCATTGGTGCAAAACCATCTACCTCTGCACTTGAAAACTTCTGAATCTACTCAGACACCAACTGACCAAAGCTATACAGAAGCCTGAATCACAATGTTTCTAAATCTCACTGATAAAAGCGTGACAGCTTTAAAGAGCCCGGGAGGCCTGTCACTCATTTCAAAGGAGCCAAGATTTCATCCTCAGAGTCTGGCACATCACGGCCAGTGACTGTGAATGAGCTTATTCATGGAGCAATCAGAGCTTGTGGGCGCCTGCTCCTTTCCCTGCTGTAGTCCAGCACTTTCACACTGTGGCTTTATTCACTGCCTTGGTCTCAAATTTAGATGCTGTGTGGGTTCAACATTGTAAAAATAATCCTTTCTCTTAGTGACAGCATACCTTTATAGTACTTGAACATGGAGATAGAACCATCAGTCAGCAGAAATACTTTTGATCTCTCCTTCTTCCAATAACTTTTTGAAACACACTCACTTTCCTCTCCCTTCCTACCACATAAAAACTTCTCTCTTCTTGTCATTCAAGGATTGGTGTAAGTGTAAAAAAAATAGTCACATTCCTTGGCTACCCTTTATAAACCACTTTCTGACAGTAACTGTTTTACCCTTCAGGGTACCAAGGTCACGGTGGAAAATAATGAGCAAGTGTGCACGTTTTAATAATTCCTCTTGAAATGGAAATAGGATAGATACTAAAAATACCCAACATGCTGACCTGAACAAACACACAAGTTCTGCTTTTGTATGGATCAGGCCACATGCTTGTAGCCACTCACAGAAGAGTAAAAACTTTCTGAGGGCACACTGGGGCAGCATTTAATGTTGTTTAATTTGTATTCTCCTCTCTTCCAATTACTTTTACTCTTTGAGCAAACACGCTGTTTCATTATCTGCTGATGCCAGCTGGCCTTTGTGCAAGTAACCTTTATGTACTGAGTGTTGCAATCCTCAGATGGGGAGACCCTTCTTTAGATAAAAGCTTTGCTGACATGACTGCTTTCTACCTCTTCAATCAGCATACCAATTAAATAATTAAATCCTTATGCTCCTAAAACATACACTAGATCAACACTTACATGCACAACCTTTACCTGTCCTATGACTCCTGTGCCTGTTTAGAGCCCGAATGGGAGGAGAACGTGTTTGAAGTCCACATGAAAGCAGAATCCCCTCAAAAGTATCCATTCCAGAGCTTCACAAGTGGCTTGTGAACTTTAAGGGGGCTGTTGGAAAGGTTTTACTCTCACACTGAGATGATCTTAAGTAGGCATTGGGACCTGAAGACAGAAAACAGGCATTCTAGCTTGGTAATGCACAGCCAAGCAAGGCCATCCTAAAGGAAGGCTTTGTCATAGGTGGTTGTGCTGTCACGACTGCTTTAATCCTACACCTCTCCCCTCCTAGAGGTTTTTGGCACTCCAGAAGGGAGGATCAAAACCAGGAGAGCACTGGAATTCCATGGTAACTCATGTCTGGTTGAAAGTCTTTCCTGCAAAACATCTAACATCCCAAATGGAGTCCAAATCTGGCAGATGAATGTTATAGCCACTGCAATGGAAGTAAGGTGGGAAGCGGAGGAAGACTGTAATGAGAAAGAAGGCTGATGTTCATAGTCTTTTTCATAAACAGATTAACTCACTTTAAATCTCACTTTACATATACCTGTATGCATGTATTTCTGAGGAAAAAGTAGTTGGAAAGAATACAGTACAACAAATTGCAATTGGCAAGAGTTTGTTAAATGCTTGGGCACATTTGGTTTGTGCATCATCCACTGCCCAGTCCTTTCCAAATTCAACACATGTGGAAAAACAGTAAAATGTTTTTTCATGCAATGTGAATAGTTTTGCTTCTTTTACAATTTTTAACATAATCTTGGTCATTGTAAAAAAATATAAGTAATTTTAAACAGCTTCTAAGAGCAGAAAGGACTACTGTGACCTACACAATAGCTTCTCACTGACTTACTTCTTCACTTACTCCATAAATTGTGGCAGATTTAAAGTAAACTGTCTCAAAAACTAGCCACGATGCCCCTTGTTCTTTTCATAGATAAATGTCTGAAGACTATTGCTGTGGAAAATTAACTCTAAATTTTGTTAAAAAAAAAACCCACTACACTTCTTTCCCTCATGACATCCACTTGCTCATAGGACAATGAAGTGGTGCCTCCAAATTGGCATATAGGATTAGGCTTTGTTCATATACACTGAACTATCTGATTACTGCCAATGGGATTACTTGTGTGAATAAGGCAAGCAGGATTTGACCTTAATATTTCATTTCAGCACCAGACAAATGGGACAAACTGTGAGAAAGCAAGCCCTTACCTTGCCAGATATCTTTGATAACCATCAAAGTGAACATTTGACATGTGTTTTTCATATTTAATGTTTTTGAAAAATCTTCCCCTTATTTAAATGTTTTCTAACAAATGTTATATAACTTCATACTTATATGGCAAATACAAAGTTAGCATAATGTATGAACTGACAACTTTACATACATACTTTTGTATTTAATACTATCTGCAAACTGTCCACTGAGCAGATTAAAATATGATTTAATTAAATATTAAGTTAAAACATTAAATTAAACTTTAAAAAGCATATAGGAATGTTTTCCTCTTCTCATTTTCTCTTTCCTGTTAAAATGAGGAGATTTAAGTGACCTTACATTTTTAGGGAATTCCATGCAGTTTTCAGCACATTCTCTGAATTAGCATGCAGTTTTGGACAGGAATGGATCACTCTTGTGAGCAAAGCATGGCAGATTCCTTCTCATGCATTTAAGCAGATTTTTTTCATTATGTTATCTGCCTCATTTCAGCAAGATTTTACCATAGCCTTTTCAATTGCCTGCTGTATGTGTTTCTTTTCAGATGCCAGGGTTAGAGGATGGTTCCTTTTGGACTCTTACCTTCCCACGTTTTTCCTTACTGGAGCATACCTACTCTGCATATGGCTGGGCAACAAGTTCATGAAGGACAGGCCTCCTTTCTCTCTCAGGGCTCACCTCATTGTGTATAACCTTGGGATTACACTGCTCTCCTTGTACATGCTCATAGAGGTAAGTGTTCTTCCATGCATCATGGCTGAGAAAGGTGAGCAATATAGAGATTTTAGCAGAAATGTCTTAGCAACAGACAGTTTTGCTAGGAAATTTAACATCAACAGCAAAGTAAATTTCAGATCAAGAAAAGTCCCTTAGCAATTGGACAGCAAGTTGTACAGTACCTTCTCATCTTAGATCTCAGCATGTTTCAACTGTCCTTCCTGAGCTACAGTCCACATCTGGGGACAGTCTGGCTGCTACTAGGACAGTGTCTACAAGCATGAATTTAAATCTGCAGCAGTTGCTCAGCTGAAACCTGCCTACACCTCATTCTTCAGCAACCATGAATATGCCCATGGATTGGATTTTATTTGTGTGGAATTTTTTTTTTTTTTTTTTTTTTTTTTTTAATGTACAAATGCCCATGCTTAAATGTGAATAGATTTATAGATGAGAGTAAGTACTGATTTATTTATGTTATTGGTAATTCAGTGTTAATTTTCTGCTCTCCTGACTAAGAAGCTTTCCTCATATAGTCAGACAGTAAAAGACAGATGTTAAAAATCTGCCACTTCTGCCAAAACCAAGTGCTGTGAGACTTGGAGGCTGAATATGGTCACACAGATGATTTCCAAAGTACTTATCAGGAACATGCTCACAGAAATCAGGATCCATTCAGAATCAGAAGAGAGGCTTGAATGCATCTGACAGTTTTATGACAGCAGAGGACTTAGAAGGCTCTTCAGCAAAGACACATGTGTTTTCACCTCCCCAGTGGGTCACAGAAGCCAAAAGTCTCTATTTTGATATTATTTGGGAGCTTCCCATTCTTAGCCTTGTGATAATATTAAACTGTTCACATCCATTACTTGCAGACCTAAACAGACAAAACCCACAAAACATTTTCTGACTTGGCTTAAAATGTGGCCCTGGGCATGAGAAGCCCTGGCTGAAGGATGTGCTTGATTTCATGGTGTGACCCGCAGAGATGTGAGCTGGCATTGCTGCCCTGCCTGCACAAGCTCATAGCATTTCTTACTCCCTGGGCTTCTGGCCACAACAGCAGTTTCCACGAGAAAAACAAAACCCCACTGTTCTGTCAGCTGGACAAGAAACTTTGCAGAAGCCAAGCAGGACCCCAAAGATTTCAAGTTTTAAATTAATTTGAGCTAAACATCAGGTGACTGGCCTGTTCAAAAATCTGAACAGCAGTTTAGGTTTGCGCCTTTGTTCAAAGGACCAATTGTGCTACACAGAGCTTTATCCTGGTCAAAGCTCAAACTGGTTTCAGCAGTTGCTGTGGGTGCCTGAGAGTGCAGAATCAGGCCCACAGCAAAAGACAAACCAGCACAATTGCTGGAAGGTTTGATGATTGTCCATACTGATTGTCCTCCAGAATTTAAATTAGCACTTTGATGTTTAATTCCCTGTTTTGCTTGAAGGTATACAGCTAGCTGTCTTCAGTAGCAGAACTCAGCAAAAAGGATTAACTGAATAGAAAACAAAAATAGCTGCTCCTTTCCCCTTGCAGGCTGATTTGGCCTGCCACAAGTAAATGAATGAACAAAGAGAATTTTAGCATGTCTCACACGAATGAAGCAAACTTGTTTTTTGTCACCTTCACATCCTTGTAGGAATTTTGTTGAGCCAGCTCCCATTCAGCCACCTCACTGCCCTGTCCTTCTTTAGGCTAAGTTTGCCGCAGACAATTGCTGATTGCATTAATCTTCAGATTAGTCCCTTTAGACCTTGATTCTGTAGCTGGAGGCTGCTGATTTATGCCTCACAGACTGCAGCTGGGCATGGCTGGCAGTGGCTCATAGCTCTACATTCTGCATTTTTCAGGAACCCGTGGGACATCACGACTGAACTGCATTGCCAGCTGTTTTACCGCAGATTTCACTCTTAGCTCTGACCTGTTAGTCAGGCTGGTTTTACACTCTACAAAACACTCTTCCATAATAGCAGCTCCATTTTTTCATAGTCTACTTGCCTGGTTCCTATCACAGCTTCTCCTGTGAAGGAGCAGAATGGAAGTTAATACTTGCAGACCTGCCTGAGGCAGCTTGCACATCCCTGCTGAAAGACAACAGGCAAATGGAAGAGCAGAAATCATCTTCAGTACTGAATAAAGTCATGGTGACTCAACATTTTAAAATGTCTCATTTCTGAAGCTCCTCTCTGGCCCTTATTCTGTCTTTTATGGACAGTAAGCTCTTTAAGGCAACAATTTCCTATATTTAGAGCGTCCTGCACAGTGGTTTCTTATGTAAACACAACTGATCCCTCCAGTGAGTATTATTCAGGATTATTTCTTAGTTAGAGACATCTATAACAGTTGCCTTATTCCTCCACCCTCCTGCTGCACCTGAACCCCCCTGATACCTTTAACCAAGATAAATTACAAAATAATAATCTGTATTATAGAGATAAACCACCAAAAAAATCCCCAAACCCAAACCAACCAGTTATTGATGGCGTTCTTTTCTCTTCTTGTTTTCGTTTATGAGGTGCCACACATCTTTTCCTGTGATAGCTCCAGAACAGAGTGGCTGCTTCTTAAACATTCAAAAGAACATCTTATTCAAAAGAAAAATTTAATTCAAAAGAAAGGTTGTATGTCCAAATGCAGACTGTCCCACATGATAGCTTTAATGAGAAATAACTGATGGGGGTACCTATGCTGCAGTTCTTCATCTCCTGACCTAGCTTAGCTGTCTCTTGACTACAGTCAATTTGTACAACCTCAAGGCAAGACAACAAAGATTAGAGTAAGGAGCCATAACAAAAGGGCTGAGTTTAAACCTCCAAAGGCAGATTCCTCTTTTGAGCCAGAGCTTCATGCACTGCACCATAGATATGAAGTATCTGGGAGATGATTTTAGCTCCATGAGCTCTAAGGTCAACCAATACCTAAAGTACTTGGAGGAACAGCTCTAGGACAACTCTAAGATGTGCCATTACCATGAGGTCAGATATACCCACTATCTCCAAAGGACAAGGTCTAAAGAAAAACAGCTCTGCTCAGATGCCCTCATCCTACTGAGATGTCTCAAAATTGTTGTGTCAAGAAAGATAGGTGGTTTTGAAGGCTTCCTAGAAGGGCAGTTTATTAGACCTTGATTTAGACTTCTGAGTTCAGCAAACAGATTTTCATGAAGTCATCAAAGGCACTTACCTCTCCCCACTGAATATAGTGGAGCACTTGGTTTTGGATATGGGGTGCATGGCTTTTTCAAGTACCTGAAGTTTAGACACAAGTCCTGTGCTTAAATTAAGCAGGCTGCAGGTGCACTGCTGAGGGTCCAGAAGACAATTCCCTCCACCCTTGCAGCTATAAGAGAAACCTGCATCAGAAGTTTGTTACTGGTTGTGCAGTCTTCTGTACCATTAAGTGTTCGTAGACCCAGAAAAAGTCTACTGACCCAACAATTTCTAGTAACACTGTCAAAAATCTGCATAAAGAAAAAAATCACCACCTTTTTATTTTAATAAAAAATCAAAACTTTTAGCAATTTCACTGAAGAAGAGTATGTCTTTCCTCTACACAAATCTTGGTCTAAGACCTTAAAAGTACCGTCTATGAGCATATTTTAAAATTACTTCATATGCAAGTCAAGTCACAAACCACACTCCAGGGATGTAGTCTGAGGCACCAGAGGCCAAAATAAGGCTTTGAAGTTCACAACAGGATAAAACTGTCACAACTCCAGTGATAAATTAAAACTGAAAATGAAGGAGACCAATGCTGATCTCTGAATAGTGAAATTACTCATGTGAGGATTCTCTCATTAACAGGAAAAGACATATTCTCTACCACTGTCTTATGTTTCTTTCCCCAGCAGTAAGTATCACCTCTACCATATTTAAATTAAATCTCAGCTGGTCATCAAGGTCTGACCCAAGTCTTTTTGTTGATCAGGCATGGAGAAAAGCAGGACACCGGCACAATCTGGGTCAGATTAAAAAGGTCTAGAGATACATGTCATTAGCATAGGGGTGGTGTGATGTCTCAAGCTGCCTGTATCCCCAGGTAGCTTTACAGACTTATTACAAATCCATAGGATTTGTAATAGCAAGCAACTACATCCATGTGGGGAAGCAGGACATGCATGTAAGGACCCCTTGATTCAGAGCAAAGGGAAAAGAGCAGAACTGCACAAGTATTTCAAGCCCAGTGCATTAACCTTTTTAGTAAAGCCAGAAGAAAGGTCTTTTACCTTACAGGATAAAAAACAAAACAAAACAAAACAAAACAAAACAAAAAAAACCCCACACAAACCCAAAACCCAAAACCCACAAGTAAGATTACCTTCACTTTACCTGTTTCTAGAAGCTGAATATTCACCCCATAGTAAATAAAATTTCTGAATTATAGTCATGACTTGCAGATCTGTAGGTGCAAAGATGATGTGAGGATTCCTGGGAGTATCAGAACTACCTTCTCTGTATCCTCTGATAGTAGGGAAAGGTCAAGAAGCACAATGCTGGCATGATCAGGTCCACCAGCCACTGTTTTTAACCATTGCAACTGGGATTACATCTCACCAAATGACTAGAAAACACAGTATAATGCCTAGATTTAGGATAACAGTGGGCAAAATGAAAATAACAAACTGAAAATAGAAGAAGCACTTAAACTCTGTTTTATTCCATCATTACAATGGCTAACATCAGAAAAATTTACTTCCTAACTGTGCAAGTGTTAAAAAGATAGAGCTTGAGTAGCAGGAGGTTTAAGTAAAGTTTTAACAGTGCAGGTGATGGGAAAAGGTAAAAAAATACATAGATCTTATCTGATTTGAACTGTCCTAGAATTTTACTATATAAATCAAACTTAAACATTTTGTTTTTTCTCAAGACTGTAATAAATGATTGTTTACACCTTCATTAATTGTTCAGAAGTTAGCAAATGTAAATGTAGAAGAGATGTAAGGAATGATTCTGGATCCATAAGGATTGGTGCTTGAGATGAAGGCTTCCTTTGAAGCAATTCTTTAGGACAGAAAGACTGT